AGAATATAGTATGTGGCTGGGCGCCATTGTTCACACCTGTAATCCTAGCACTCTGGGAGGCCAGGGCAAGTGGATCAGTTGAGCTCAGGAGTTTTAGACCAGTGTGACCAATAATGAGACCCTGTCTCTACTAAAAGTAGAAAAATTAGTTGGGTATTGTGGACACCTGTATAGTCCCAGCTACTCAGGAGGCTGGGGCAGGAGGATCACTTGAGCCTAGGAGTTTAGGTTGCTGTGAGCTAGGCTGATGCTATGGCACTGTAGCCTGAGCAACAGAATGAGAGTCTATCTCAAAAAAATCAGTGGGGGGTGGCACCTGTGGCTCAAAGGAATAGGGCACCAACCCCATATGACAGAGGTGGTGGGTTCAAACCCAGACCCAGCCAGAAACTGCAAAAAAGAAAAAAAAAAATATATATATATATATACCAAAAAAAATCAGTGGGTAGGGTGCTGGCCACATATACCAAGGCTGGAGGGTTCAAACCCAGCCTAGGCCAGTTAAAACAATAATGACAACTGCAACAGCAACAACAACAACAAAATAGCTGGGTGTTGTGGTGGGCGCCTATAGTCCCAGCTACTTGGGAAGCTGAGCAAGGGAATCACTTAAGCCCAAGAGTTTGAGGTTGCTGTGAGCTGTGATAGCACGGCCCTCAACACAGGGTGACAACTTGAGACTCTGTCTCAAAAAAAAAAAAAAAAAACTGGTAGCACCCGTAGCTAAGTGATTATGGCACCAGCCACATACACCAAGGCTGGCGGGTTCAAATCCAACCCAGGCCAGCTGGGCAACAGTGACAACTGCAAAAGACAGATGGCTGGGTGTTGTGGCAGGTGCCTGTTGGGAGACTGAGCAAGAGAATTGCTTAAGCCCAAGAGTTTGAGGTTGCTGTGATCTGTGACAACACAGCACTCTACTGAGGGCAACATAGTGAGACTCTGGGGAAAAAAAAAGAAAGAAAAATAAATAATTATGGACAGCACCCATAGGTCAGTGGGTAGGGCACATACACCCAGGCAACAGAGACAACTGGAACAAAAAAATAGCTGGGAGTTGTGGTGGGCGCCTGTAGTCCCAGCTACTTGGGAGGCTAAGGCAAGAGAATCGCTTAAACCCAAGAGTTGGAGGTTGCTGTGAGCTGTGACACACTCTACCAAGGGTGACATAATAAGACTCTATCTCAAAAAATAAATATAGTTATCTGTAACATCCAGACCAAACCTCCAATCTACATATCTAAAGTATAAGGTGGTTCCTAGATGGATTGCTTTAAAGATGGCGTACTCCTCTTGAACAAAAAAGACTATGGAGTAGAAGAATGAAACATGAGAAAGGTAAGAAATGTTCTGTGAGAGCTAATGGAGCAAACTGAGACCACTGGTAGAATCCACAGGGAGACTGAAGGCCCCTCTGCACAAGGATATATGTCCAAATACTGTCTGAAAAGGTGGTAAGGTCCCCAGGACTGGGGTGTACAAGGTAATCACAACTGATGCTAAGGTTACTGCTGTCTGCCAGGGTCTGTGCTGAGTGGATTACAAGAAAGATCTTGGGCTGGGAGTGGTGGCTCACACCTGCAATCCTAGCACTCTGGGAGGTTGAGGCAGGTGGATTGCCCTGAGCTCACAGGCTCGAGACCTGCCTGAGCCAGAGTGAGACACTGTACCCCACCCCCAACTCCGTCTCTAAAATTAGCCAGGCGTTGTGGCAGGCACCTGCAATCCCAGCTACTCGGGAGGCTGAGGCAAGAGAACAGCTTAAACCCGAGTTTGAGGTTGCTGTGAGCTATGACGCTATGGCACTCTACTGATGGTGACAAAGTGAAACTTTGTCTCAAAAAAACAATTTTTTTTTTCAAATAATATTCACCCTAAGACGCAGTTAATGTTCCCATGTTTTAGGTGAGGAGACCGAAGTTTAGAGAGGAAGACAGCTTGCTCTTAAAGGCTCTTAAGTCATGCTACCTCTGGCTTGGCGCCCGTAGCTCAGTGGTTAGGGTGCCAGCCACATGCACCAGGGCTGATGTTTTCAAACCTGGCCTGAACCCGCTAAAGAATGACAACAACAAAAAATAGCTGGGCATTGTGGCGGGCTCCTATAGTCCCAGCTACTTAGGGGGCTGAGGTAAAGAATCGCTTAAGCTCAAGAGTCTGAGGTTGCTATGACACCAGGGCACTCTACCAAGGGGGACATAGTGAGACTCTGTCTCAAAAAAAAAAAAAAAAA